TAGGCCAGTTTTTTACTATTATGAATTTTAGTAATGTCAAATCCCAGTGTCTGCAGCATTTCATACAATATATTAGCTGTGATATATCGTGAGTTTTCCAAGCAGGCCAATGGCAGTACAATCTGAAAATGGAAAAATTAAGAATTAAGTAGAGATAGATGAAGAAGATAACATGTCTTTCTAGGCATTGTGTACATTGCTGATAGTCAAACTACACATTGAAGTGCTATATTTATATGTGCCGCCAAAAGGCGTCACAAATTCACCACTTCTGTCTGGAAAGGGGTATGTTATTTTACCCTGTCTGGCTGAAAAGGGATATCCTTTTTTCATTATTTCTGTCTGAAAAGGGGTCTATATTTTCCAAAGACTGTCTCTAGAGCTTGAGTGATCCAACAATCAGGAGAATGAAGCTGATTTTGTCTTTGATCGTCACAGTCCATCCCCGGGAGTCCATCTAGGACTTGATGACTGCATTTTGCATTTTTTCTTTCAAGTCCACCTGCTTTTCCCTTGGTACCATTTATGCTTACTGTCTGGAAAGGAGTGTCAAATGTCCACAGTTTGTCTGAAAATGGGTAGGCAATTTTAGTTTATTTCTGTCTGATAAGGGGTAGGGGTTTCAAACAACAAGCTACTCATCCCTGTCAGTATCTTTTGCAAGTAACCCCCCCCCCCCCCGAGTCAAACCATCATAGAACTGTCTTCTATAGATACATAGTCTTTATAATGATTGATTAATTAATTTGTAAATAAAAGTATGTCAATAATTTTTCAGTAAAGGGACAATAAAAATATGAAAAAATCAGTGTATATGGTGATGCATATGGCATGCCAATGTTTGTCTAAGAGATTACCCGGTGGCAAATTTCGCTGTTAAGCTTTTTTACTATTCGACTATTAAAAACACCATCTTACAACACTTTCAATCACGCAAATGACCTGTAAACTGCTGTTGGTAAAAAAGTAGGCGTGATGATTGCTTCTTGGTTTCTCTCTTTTATTTTTTGACTACAACCAAATACATGTAACTACAGACATGTCACTGATAATATAATCAGTCATATATGACAAGTGATTTAATATTTCTCCACGTGACACAGTGTATTCACTGTAGCGCAAACCATATTTCTTAAAGAAAAGTTTAATGTTTTAACTTCTGAGTACATGTATTTGTGATCACAAAACAAGAGAGAAAATCATGGTCGTTGGTCGTTGCTGCACAATTCTTTTTTTTTAATTCACTCACTCTCATTAAAAAATATCAAGATTGTGTAGTAGATAATTTAAAAAAATATTATATCGCATTCAGCAAGACAAGTCATGTCATGTCATGAAAAAGAGTTCTCCACTGAATTTAATCAGCCATTTTGAGCTTGAGATGAATGTGTGACATGGTGTACAATGTGGTTGTAATGTCTGACAGTAATCAGCCAAGTCATGTCAGATATATGGAACAGCATTTATTAAAACAAAATGTCCAGTCAGCTACTCAGCGAATCCATTCTGAGAAAAACAAAGTTCTGTGTATCAAAGTCGACTTATGTTGAATAAATGTAACAAGGTTAAAGGGCCGTGGTCGCCGTGCAGCGCGTGATGGAATTGTATGTAAACAAACAATGTATTTTACAAGTGTTGTATACGTCACTATGAGTCCCATATCACACAACACACGGTTCAGTGACCACCGTCCTTTAGACAAAATCTGTCCATGCACGATCAAGATCTCTGGAATTGCAGAAATGATTGATATTGGTGCATTAAAGCAGGGGAGTTGTCACCTACGCATGCATCAGGTGTCCATAGCGTGTCATTGTTTACAAACAAGCGTCTACCCATGAACCTTTGCGTTCATAGAGTGTGTTGTTATTGTCGCTTGGGAGTCAATTCTCGCTTTAACAGATATGAACTGAATGTGCTTCTGTGTGTCAATTAATTGATAACTATGCAGATTAATTCTCAGATAATAAAAGGACATTTCTACTGAAAGATTTTTCTGCTCCAGTGACGCTTATTAACGTAATTCCATGAATCACAAATTGGACAGATGGACAAACAGACGCACATCAATACAACATAATCTCACAAGAGCTAAAAATGACCACCATTGGCTATCTTAAATTTGATCAGAAACAAAAGCTTGTGCATATTTATGACATGATATACATGGATGATGTGTACGTGAAGTTCAAACATAATTAGTTCAGTCATAACTGAGATACAAGTGTGAATGTATGCACACAGACGTGAAATAATGTATCCAATTTTCAAAAGGGAAGTAATAAACTGTCGAAAAGCAAGTTTCAAGTGTGACAAGTTACTACAAAACAATTTGACATACATGTATTTTATATTCTTGGCACATTTGTTCAGCAATTACACACTAATGTACAGCAACTTAATGTGTTATTTTTATTTTTATTTGTATGTCAATATCAGTGACCAAAACACGGTTTTACTTACAATAAGATATCCTTTCTGTTTTAATAAAACTTGGGCTTTTATCAACATACGTCCCCTTTTCAGTGGATCACCTACAAAATTGATAACCAGACTAAGAACGAGGACATCATATACTGCGCATTCATCACTCTGTGAAGGAGAGAGAGAATATGCATTGTACTGTGACAGTGGAGAAAACATTGAATATGAACTACAAACATACACATGCAGAGCAAAGACAGTATCATGGGCAAGGTATCCCAGGAGATGAAGTTATAGCGAGCATGGCAAAAGACTAATTTTGATCAGCGGCCAAACACATATCGTGCATGTCACCATTTTGAATCCTGGTCAATTCGTATGTAAACCAAAAACTCAATTTCTGCAGTTCACAAGCCTGCACGTTCTATGGTTACGTCAGTTCTAGTTTTTAGTAAATAAATAAACTTGTTCAGCCGTGCTCACTTGCCAGGTATTGCTAGAGATTCAATTCTTTGCAGTTCTCATACCAGATCAGTTTCATTCTGCCAGTGTTATCAAATTCACTTACATGTTACTATCGGCATTCAAATTAGTTTTAAAATTAGTTTAAGCTCAATGTGCACCTAAGTTTTTAATGAACGTGATCATACCTTCTTCCACCAAATATAGTAAAAATGAAAAATGTCATCATTGAGTCAAGACGAAACATATGCTCTGTAGCATAGCAACCAGACATCACTTGTGTTTCACGACCATCAAGATAAGATTAGAATAAGTAGAAATCTCACCTGAAATTGCAAGAAATCTGCTTTGATAATCTTTCTGTGTTGCGGATTTAGATCTATGGCAGTACATTTAATCCAAAAGTATTTTTTGTAATTCAAGTCCAGTGCACCGACATCCAACAGATGAATTTTTTCACCCTGCAAGACAAACCAGATATCATTTTGCAAAAGACAGATTTTAAATTCTTTTTCCATTCAATGTGAGTTCCTACATTATGTGTGAAATTGAACATAAAAACTGGGCAAACAAAGGTCATCGCATTGTAGAGGCGTCAACACGACATACGAGATTCAACAAACGCAATAGTATTGAGGAGGTGTTTTCACGCTTAATAATATGCTATAAAATTTGAAGATAGCTATTTTGGATGAAGTAAAGGTACCCCAACACAATATTCCCCTCTTCAAGGATCAGCATTACAACTTTGAGCTATATAAATCAAGAAATTTAAATCCTAAGTCAAATCGCTTTGATTTTTGCGGCAGACGTTGGGTCTGTTCATTTCATGCATTATGCAAGTGAACGGAAAATCACCTATTGGTATTATATAATAGGAACTTGACCATTATGTCCATGTTTAAATACTATTCGATTACTGTATATGTAGTAACTTTCCATTCAGCTTTGATTTTCTCCAACATGCATTTGCAATAGAGGCACAGAAAGTATGACTTGGTTGAAATGGAGCACTTCAACCTATAACAATACTTTGCTATAATGTTAACTGATTTGTCAGGATATTTATGGGATTTGTAATACAGCAAAAGTTGTATAATTACCTTTAATTCTGTACAAATGTAACAGGTTTTTAGATGTTTTGCCACCCAAGTAGCTGTATTGGTATTTCCATGACGATATTCACCCAACTTTGATGTGATCTGGTATGTTTCTAATCCGCCAAGCTGAAATAGAAAGTATGATATAATATATCTAATTAATTATTTATCACAATTCTTCCATGAGATACAGCCATGTGAGGATTTTCTATATCAGCTCTCAATGATATGAATAATAATCAATTTTTACCATGTCTAATTCTATCAGTTGGTTGGATAGTTTGATAAAAGTCTGTCTGGTTGGAGGATGTGGCAGAGCTTCCAGACTGGGGATAGAGAGACTGTGTTTTAACTTGTTTATTAGAAACCAGAAACACTTGTTTCAATAATTTAACTTTTATTTTAATGAAAAATTGATGAAAAATAAATTTAGTTTGATAAAAAATTAATAATGTATCAGTATACACTTTTTTTCTGAACCTCATCTAAAAATATATCTTGAGACATTGGCCTCCGACTCAAGAAGACAAATTTTTCCGAAGCATGTTGTTTGTTATGGTCAAAGTGGAAACAATAATTTGATCTGATTTCTTTTGTACTAGAATGCTGGTAAATCACATTTATAGTGAAGAACAATGATTTATTGAATTGCAGACTCAACACAGGTTCTGGATTTAATTTTATGAACAAATCATGAAGCCCAAAACATGAAAGAAGTTTACTGAAGTTAAAGCATGCCTGATAAGTTTTTTTTAACATCAACAAATCCTAGTATCAAACTGCGATGGTAAACATTACCCCTGTTATTCATTTATCAATGTCCTTCCTGTGATATATGGTTTATTTTCGAGTCTGGTTTATTTTTTTGTTACAACTAATTACTCACATGTTTATGAAGCTTTTGAACTTAGGCGAGGGTTCTTCGAACCCGCCTATTCACATAGTTCATACCCACCATAGACTCCGGTCAGTCAAAATGACAATTTTGAACTGTAGGCATTAATCAGCGATTCTGCCGGTGACGGAGAGATAGAATCTAGGTCAGGGGAAGCCCCATGACCTCAAGATTCTTTTACCCCTTACGTCACGAACCCACGTGACCGAGGCCACATGGCAGCGCCATAGGCAGCCGCCCATCACTCTGGTTCCTTTCTTTCCGCCTCGAGGACTTAGACCAACGCGACGGAAAGAGTGGGGAGGGGGGGACCCAGAGTCTATGGTGGGTATG